ACGCCTGAATGCGAAGACGAAATAGAGAAAGAAGTATGTGATGGATTTCTGTGTGTTGGAAATGTTTACGAAACTGTGAGAAATGCAGCTGCAGACAATAACTTGAGGAATTCCTTATTCATGCTTGACAGCCAAAATACTAATTAGAATGTATGCGAATCAGACGTAATATGATGACTCATTGATATCTTGCTTAAAGATCGTATTCCGTATATAATGATAACAGTGGTAAATTGCTGGCCAACCATCTCGTAAAAGTGAAGGCCACTGCTACGAAACTTCAGAGCTCTAGCTTGAAATCATTCGTTCCACTCGGAACGAAAAGGAATGAACAGATGATAACAGTGGCTTTTGATGGTTTATCAGGTCCACAGATTGAGTTATTTTAATGGAACTGTCAGAAGGTTTTCATATTAACACTCATTTGTAATGTAAATATCTTCAGGTACACAGTGAGTTATTGACTTTTCTATCAAATAATAACTTCACTGGTGATAATTTAATATTTAAGCTTCTAAGAATTAGGCACAAACAGTGAAGAAAATCTCTTTCTTCTCGACGATTCATTTTCATCACCTATACAGTCGTAATTATATGAAAAAACAAAGAAATCTTGAGACCATTGAGATACTACTGGTAAACGTTGTGCTTAGAAATGTATTACATAATGTGAGGTGTGAGAGAGGGGTTAACTAATTGCAGTTTAGCAAAAAGAGGCAGAAGGATTTGTTAATGGTTCTCTAACTGATGTCAGCTCATGATGAAATCCTCCAAGCAACCGAACAGAAAATCCCTACAAACCAATACTTGAAAAATTAAGTAGTAGTTGACAAAATATCTTGTACTCAATGTCCGACAGAATAAATATGTGGGTAAAACACTCATAGATCACACAAAATAAGAGTAAGGAAACATAAACGTCTAACTGAAAGTCATCCCACAGGAACACAAGTACACAATAATTTAGAAACATTCCATTCACAGGCGCACATATTTAGAATAAAACCACAAGATTGGTTGCGACAAAGTTTGTATTCGTATGTCTAATAACATCAAAATGGAAGGAAAGATCAATAACGGAATGCATATACCAAGGGTGGCACAACACATCTGCCTACAAGCTGAAATATAATTTCGAGTACACACAAATGAACGAACAAATATCAACTACATATACAATCACAAACCAGAAGTGTGTAAATTAAATTAGGCAATTGAAAACGTTGCGGTTTTCATGAGTAGTAATTCTTCTCCGAATCTTACCATCTCATATAAGGTGTCATTGTGGCTAAACTATTGAAATGTGATAATATTTCACGTGGTCTCATCCTCAATCCACACACACACACACTTTACTGTCATCACTTTCTAATCATTTTCATTCGAATTATTCATTAGTCAGTGTGTTGAGCATATTCAAATCACCCTTCACATGAGAGTTATGAATGTGAACACATTAGTGAGATACTTGTGTGTACACACTAATATCCTGACGTCATTCCCTGGTGTACAAGTCAGAATTCGTCATCCCTGTACAGCTGCTAGTAATCCGGATCCCAAGATTATGTGCTAAATAACAACCACATTTATTTACGAATGTATGAACAACGTGATTTATTACTGAACAAATAAATGTAGACTGATTGGATGGAAACTGTGTGAAAGTGGACTGTTTGTAGGATAATATGTGTGTGTGTGCACTGTTTCTGGATTTCCCCCACTGATCATTTGATTCAGCGATGACTGTTGACAGATGATGATGAAGTGTGCACTCACTTCTCGTGTTGTTGCTTGACATGGTCATGTAGTGTAGTGACAAACTGTGAGTGGGGATTCTTTTGACACGAACAAGCAACATTTCGCCTTTCGGTAGAGAGAGAGAGAGAAAGCGAATTCTTCCCCACTTCCGTAATTGAAGATTACGACTTCATCACCCAAGGACGATTAGTGATAAAGCAACGGTGAGTGGAATACTAATTTCGAATGTTTGAATTCGTACAAATGAGAAGATAATTAGCTGTGAGACTACTGCATGCTAGTGTTAATGGACGAATTGTTACATTTGTTTCACAGAGATTACAGTGATGAGTAGGTTGATAATTGTCTTTATCTTGAATTTTATCGTTGTAATCTTGATATGATGTTTGACAAATTCTGCATTCTACACGAGAATCGATGTCATGAAGTGTGATTGAAGGGGGTAGATGAGGAAGAATTCGTGATGACGTGGTTTCATGTTTCTAAATAATTTATATGTTTAACTGAAATGCAATAATTACTGAATAACACCGCGAGTTTCAAGTGGTGATTCTTGATGAAGGTACTCTGTCGTTGCTGAATTCATACCTCCCTGTCCCTTTATTGAATTACGACTAAATAAACACGTCTACAGATTACATTTGATGTTTCGCTTGTGAAGCGCACACACACAGATATTTCTAGTGACTAATTATAATTTTATATATGAATCGCTTGCACACAATGATAACTTTTGTTGCTTTTAGTATTTTTTGAGCAAAACTGTGGGCGTTGATCCCACCAGCTGTTGGTGGAAATGTCTTTTTTAATTCACACATTTATGATCTGGAATCGCGTATTCGATGTTTACATGTCTCCTCATTTTTTGGTGTCGAAAATTCTATTGGAAAGAAAATGTACTTACACCATGAATGTTATCATAACAATGTTACTGGAGATATGTGGATGACACATAATTAATATTGGGAAAGAATAATATTCGAGAATATTCCTAATGCAGGAAAAGTAATGCAGGCTCAATAAAATGGAATATTGCTAAAGAGAATAAATTTGAGAAAGTACACACGTTAAAATGTGTGGAAAGCGGTAAGACGAAAACGCGAGTATTGTAGAAGTAATGACGACTGATTGTATGCAAACTGTCTGAAAATCAGCTACTTGCGAGATAGTCCGTGTGCACTATCTCTGAAGTTCTCCCAATGATTATTCAATTCTGCGACGATTGTTGACAGATGACGATGAACTGAGCACTTCTCGTGGTGTCGCATGATGTGCTCATGTAGTGACAAACTGTGAGTGGGGATTCTTTTGACACGAACAAACAAGATTTCGCCATTTTGTTGAGAGGGAGTGAATTCTTTCCCACTTTCGAAATTGAAGATTACGACTTCATCACCTGATGAAGATTGGTGATAAACCAACCCTGACTGGACTACTAATTTTGAATGCTTGTATTCGTACACATGAGAAGGTGATTAGTTGTTTGAGAAGTGCATACTTGTATTAACTGATGAATTGTGTCATTCGTTTCACAGGGATTACTATGACGGGTATGTTTTAAAAAGTGTAGTTATTTTAAATTGTATACTAGTGAATTCGATATTGCTTCAAAGTTATTCTTGGTAAAATCTCCATTCCATAGGCGATGGAATCAGTGATGAGGGATTTTAGGTTTGGCTAATGAAAATCTCGTGCATACATATCTCCAGATTTTGTCAGATTTTGAATTATTTTAGTCTTAAATCAAGACATCATTGTTGAACGGAAGGAATTCTGAATGACATATTTTGACTGGTCAGCTGGTGTTTTGTGAAAGAAGTCTTCCGTTGATGCATTCACACCTGTTGATTCATTCATTTGAACTTTGATGTATTTTATCCGTGTGCCAGTGATATTTTGTGTCTTGCTTTCAATGATCATATAGATTAAAATATCTCATCATTTTCATTTGAAACATTCAAGAAGGATTTTATGACATACAGAATCTCATGATCAGGACGGATATGAGAGTTTTGTACCTAATTGACAAATTTGCATCTACACATGAATATCTGCACCACTGCAATCGTTTACATTCAAAATTGCCTCACTAGCAGTCAAATCAATAATCGCATTTATCCTGCTTATTGAGAGGTTATGATCACTATTTGAGTGAATCGATTCTAGATGAATTTCCAAATCTATCTTATAAGGATGTGACGAGGAGGTTTCAAGCAAGAAATAGAAATCTTCATTGATCTAGGAAGTAAATATCCCTCATTTAGAGGTAATATGAAGACGACGCTAAGAAGCGTGTTTAAATTCCAATGCATAAAGTGTCAAAATGATTTCAAGGATGAAGTTGATGCAGTTGATATTCTTTTCAAATTGGTTATAGCCGTAAGAATCCTTCAAATCTAAATTCTTCTAAACTTCGGTGTAAAATATTATATCAGTTCACTTCAAGACTACTCTGGTGATAACTGAACGCTGTGGGATTAACGCTAGATATCTGATCAGACTGTCTTTGTTTATTAATTCAGAGTTTGTGTCAAAGATTATTTAGCAATGGAAAATCGGGTTGTGCTTGACGTAGTAACATGAAGCCTTCCGTGGATTATAAAGGACACAAATTATATTGCAAACATTTCACTATGTCAAAGCTTCTTTTGAACTTGTGCCTTCTCGCACAATGCAGGATAATATGTCTCGGGTTGACTGACAAAGTAATTAACGAATCGTTTTGTTGTTTTCAAGGGACTATAATGAGTAAGTTCAGGGGTGCTTTTGTCTTGGATTTCACTTTAATAACCAAGTGAATGTAATGAAATGGTGCATGGCTGGCAAGCTCTGTGTTCAATACAGATGCCATTACAGGAATGAGTGATTTACAGTCTGAATTCTCTGGCTTGCTGGCCCTCAGTGGTGTTCCTTATTGAGAAACATATATTCTCTAAATAATGTCAGTTTCTCTTCTAAAAGGATATTAACCTAATGTTTGCATACATGAGTATCTATTCATTTCAATCACATAATTATCGCTCCTCCATTGTACTCCTTTGTTTATTTTTATAATCACTGTCTTTACAAATCTTTTTTGCAGAACTGTATTCCCGTAGGTTTCTCATTTTGTTTCTTAATTGAGTGACTTCCTAATGTTGCTGCCATTTTAATCGGATCTGTGGGAAATCCCTGTTTTAAGAAGATTATTGAAATATTTTACTTGTCATGCCAAAGCTGGAGAAAGTGCCCTTGATACACAAATGAGGATTCATTTAAAGTATTTTCGTTGCTTACATTCCGTGAAGTGAGTACTTATAGACCAACAGATATAAGTGAGACAGTTCAGGAGACAGTTCAACCTTGTCGTCATGCCTAACGACAATTTTTCAACAAACTATTATCAGGCACATTCTGTCATTCCAACAAAAGACTATTAATCCAACAATGATTCAGTAATTGCATTAAAGATCGTTGTGAGATTCGATTATGGTGTGATGATTTCCAGATATGTTGAGATATGCATACTTATGATCAGTGGACGTGGAATTCAAGCTACAAACTATACATTCCTGCAGTTTGACTACATTTCAACTATACCTGTTTGTAGAGATACATACAGCTACACATATGGTTCGAATTTCTTCGAGTTTTGACATGTTACAGATTCGACTGAAGTTTGAGACGAGACACAGTTCCTTTCTTGCTGGGATCCAAATAAGGCATATATATTCGTGAATTTATGGCTTGATTGTGATCATTCTTTCGCTTTGAACTCTTTGGAACGCTGTAGCTGTTTTCTGAATCCGGGTGGTGTTTCACTGTACACAAACTGTTCATCAGGCTTCTTCATAGTTGAAGACAAATTACTGAATATTTCACTTCGCAACTTTGGAAGAATATGAAGGATATTAGATATGAAACAGCTCTATATGGATCTGTATTTCTAGTCTGAGCAAATGTTCCACTGAGGGAGTACTCTGTTATTTGGTATAAATTATGTGTACTATCAGTGTTATTTGAATGGTGATATTCGACAATAGCTTAGTAAACTGTTGAATTTATGGTTTCTATTTCAAAAGACGAATGAATAGTGAGTAATATTAATGTTTTGATATGCAGAATTCAAGTGATTCAAGTTATGCTTTCTACCTACTACTGGAAATATTCTTGTCTATACCAGTTTTGGTCGATTGAAATCAGTGTGATATCCTTTGTCACAAACAAGCTAAATCTGAACCTACGCCTGAATGCGAAGACGAAATAGAGAAAGAAGTATGTGATGGATTTCTGTGTGTTGGAAATGTTTACGAAACTGTGAGAAATGCAGCTGCAGACAATAACTTGAGGAATTCCTTATTCATGCTTGACAGCCAAAATACTAATTAGAATGTATGCGAATCAGACGTAATATGATGACTCATTGATATCTTGCTTAAAGATCGTATTCCGTATATAATGATAACAGTGGTAAATTGCTGGCCAACCATCTCGTAAAAGTGAAGGCCACTGCTACGAAACTTCAGAGCTCTAGCTTGAAATCATTCGTTCCACTCGGAACGAAAAGGAATGAACAGATGATAACAGTGGCTTTTGATGGTTTATCAGGTCCACAGATTGAGTTATTTTAATGGAACTGTCAGAAGGTTTTCATATTAACACTCATTTGTAATGTAAATATCTTCAGGTACACAGTGAGTTATTGACTTTTCTATCAAATAATAACTTCACTGGTGATAATTTAATATTTAAGCTTCTAAGAATTAGGCACAAACAGTGAAGAAAATCTCTTTCTTCTCGACGATTCATTTTCATCACCTATACAGTCGTAATTATATGAAAAAACAAAGAAATCTTGAGACCATTGAGATACTACTGGTAAACGTTGTGCTTAGAAATGTATTACATAATGTGAGGTGTGAGAGAGGGGTTAACTAATTGTGATTTAGCAAAAAGAGGCAGAAGGATTTGTTAATGGTTCTCTAACTGATGTCAGCTCATGATGAAATCCTCCAAGCAACCGAACAGAAAATCCCTACAAACCAATACTTGAAAAATTAAGTAGTAGTTGACAAAATATCTTGTACTCAATGTCCGACAGAATAAATATGTGGGTAAAACACTCATAGATCACACAAAATAAGAGTAAGGAAACATAAACGTCTAACTGAAAGTCATCCCACAGGAACACAAGTACACAATAATTTAGAAACATTCCATTCACAGGCGCACATATTTAGAATAAAACCACAAGATTGGTTGCGACAAAGTTTGTATTCGTATGTCTAATAACATCAAAATGGAAGGAAAGATCAATAACGGAATGCATATACCAAGGGTGGCACAACACATCTGCCTACAAGCTGAAATATAATTTCGAGTACACACAAATGAACGAACAAATATCAACTACATATACAATCACAAACCAGAAGTGTGTAAATTAAATTAGGCAATTGAAAACGTTGCGGTTTTCATGAGTAGTAATTCTTCTCCGAATCTTACCATCTCATATAAGGTGTCATTGTGGCTAAACTATTGAAATGTGATAATATTTCACGTGGTCTCATCCTCAATCCACACACACACACACACTTTACTGTCATCACTTTCTAATCATTTTCATTCGAATTATTCATTAGTCAGTGTGTTGAGCATATTCAAATCACCCTTCACATGAGAGTTATGAATGTGAACACATTAGTGAGATACTTGTGTGTACACACTAATATCCTGACGTCATTCCCTGGTGTACAAGTCAGAATTCGTCATCCCTGTACAGCTGCTAGTAATCCGGATCCCAAGATTATGTGCTAAATAACAACCACATTTATTTACGAATGTATGAACAACGTGATTTATTACTGAACAAATAAATGTAGACTGATTGGATGGAAACTGTGTGAAAGTGGACTGTTTGTAGGATAATATGTGTGTGTGTGCACTGTTTCTGGATTTCTCCCACTGATCATTTGATTCAGCGATGACTGTTGACAGATGATGATGAAGTGTGCACTCACTTCTCGTGTTGTTGCTTGACATGGTCATGTAGTGTAGTGACAAACTGTGAGGTAGGGTTCTTTTGACACGAACAAGCAACATTTCGCCTTTCGGTAGAGAGAGAGAGAGAAAGCGAATTCTTCCCCACTTCCGTAATTGAAGATTACGACTTCATCACCCAAGGACGATTAGTGATAAAGCAACGGTGAGTGGAATACTAATTTCGAATGTTTGAATTCGTACAAATGAGAAGATAATTAGCTGTGAGACTACTGCATGCTAGTGTTAATGGACGAATTGTTACATTTGTTTCACAGAGATTACAGTGATGAGTAGGTTGATAATTGTCTTTATCTTGAATTTTATCGTTGTAATCTTGATATGATGTTTGACAAATTCTGCATTCTACACGAGAATCGATGTCATGAAGTGTGATTGAAGGGGGTAGATGAGGAAGAATTCGTGATGACGTGGTTTCATGTTTCTAAATAATTTATATGTTTAACTGAAATGCAATAAATACTGAATAACACCTGGAGTTTCAAGTGGTGATTCTTGATGAAGGTACTCTGTCGTTGCTGAATTCATACCTCCCTGTCCCTTTATTGAATTACGACTAAATAAACACGTCTACAGATTACATTTGATGTTTCGCTTGTGAAGCGCACACACACAGATATTTCTAGTGACTAATTATAATTTTATATATGAATCGCTTGCACACAATGATAACTTTTGTTGCTTTTAGTATTTTTTGAGCAAAACTGTGGGCGTTGATCCCACCAGCTGTTGGTGGAAATGTCTTTTTTAATTCACACATTTATGATCTGGAATCGCGTATTCGATGTTTACATGTCTCCTCATTTTTTGGTGTCGAAAATTCTATTGGAAAGAAAATGTACTTACACCATGAATGTTATCATAACAATGTTACTGGAGATATGTGGATGACACATAATTAATATTGGGAAAGAATAATATTCGAGAATATTCCTAATGCAGGAAAAGTAATGCAGGCTCAATAAAATGGAATATTGCTAAAGAGAATAAATTTGAGAAAGTACACACGTTAAAATGTGTGGAAAGCGGTAAGACGAAAACGCGAGTATTGTAGAAGTAATGACGACTGATTGTATGCAAACTGTCTGAAAATCAGCTACTTGCGAGATAGTCCGTGTGCACTATCTCTGAAGTTCTCCCAATGATTATTCAATTCTGCGACGATTGTTGACAGATGACGATGAACTGAGCACTTCTCGTGGTGTCGCATGATGTGCTCATGTAGTGACAAACTGTGAGTGGGGATTCTTTTGACACGAACAAACAAGATTTCGCCATTTTGTTAGAGAGGAGTGAATTCTTTCCCACTTTCGAAATTGAAGATTACGACTTCATCACCTGATGAAGATTGGTGATAAACCAACCCTGACTGGACTACTAATTTTGAATGCTTGTATTCGTACACATGAGAAGGTGATTAGTTGTTTGAGAAGTGCATACTTGTATTAACTGATGAATTGTGTCATTCGTTTCACAGGGATTACTATGACGGGTATGTTTTAAAAAGTGTAGTTATTTTAAATTGTATACTAGTGAATTCGATATTGCTTTAAAGTTATTCTTGGTAAAATCTCCATTCCATAGGCGATGGAATCAGTGATGAGGGATTTTAGGTTTGGCTAATGAAAATCTCGTGCATACATATCTCCAGATTTTGTCAGATTTTGAATTATTTTAGTCTTAAATCAAGACGTCATTGTTGAACGGAAGGAATTCTGAATGACATATTTTGACTGGTCAGCTGGTGTTTTGTGAAAGAAGTCTTCCGTTGATGCATTCACACCTGTTGATTCATTCATTTGAACTTTGATGTATTTTATCCGTGTGCCAGTGATATTTTGTGTCTTGCTTTCAATGATCATATAGATTAAAATATCTCATCATTTTCATTTGAAACATTCAAGAAGGATTTTATGACAAACAGAATCTCATGATCAGGACGGATATGAGAGTTTTGTACCTAATTGACAAATTTGCATCTACACATGAATATCTGCACCACTGCAATCGTTTACATTCAAAATTGCCTCACTAGCAGTCAAATCAATAATCGCATTTATCCTGCTTATTGAGAGGTTATGATCACTATTTGAGTGAATCGATTCTAGATGAATTTCCAAATCTATCTTATAAGGATGTGACGAGGAGGTTTCAAGCAAGAAATAGAAATCTTCAGTGATCTAGGATGTAAACATCCTTCATTTAAATGTAATATGAATAAAGCGCCGAAACACATGGCAATATTAAAATATATAAAGTGGCAAAATTATTTCAAATGTGTAGTTGATGGACTTCATATTCTGTTCAAATTTTTTTGGCAGCATTCATCCTTGAATTTGTGATTTGTTTACAGTTCCGTATAAAATATTGCCTAGATTGACTTTAAGAGCACTACGGAAAGAATAGTGAAAAGCCATCGGAACAATGATATTTGATCAACTGTGTTTGTTTAGTAATTCAGTCGTCATGTGTAAGATTACTTGACAGTATGAAATCGAGTTGTAAATAACTAAATACTGTGATGGCTTCAGTGGATTTTAAAGGGCACAAGTTATTTATTGGAAAGTTTTCACTATGTCAAAGCTTCTTTTGAACTTGTGCCTTCTCATACAACGCAAGATAATATGTCTTGAGTTGGCCGAAACATAATTAACGAATCATTTTGTTGTTTTCAAGTGACTACGATGAGTAAGTTCAGGGAAGCTTTTGTCTTGGATTTCACTTTAATGACTAAGTGGTTGTGATCAAATGCTACAAGGCGAGCACTGCATTCAATACAGATGCTAAAGGATATATGGCATTACAGGAATGAGTGGATAATAATCTTAAGTCTCTGGCTTGTTCACCCTCAGTGTTACGTATTCTCTGAATAGTGTCTTTTTTTGTTTTAAACTGATATCAACCAAATGTCTGCATAAATGAGTATCGTCTCATTGAAGTCACCTATTTATCTCTCCTCCGTTGTACTCCTTTGTTTATTTTTATAATCACTGTCATTACAAATCTTTTTTGCAGAAGTGTATTCCCGTAGGTTTCTCATTTTGTTCCATAATTAAATGCCCTACTAATGTTCCTGTCATTTTATCAGATCTTCAGGAAATTGCGCTTTTAAGAGGATCATTGAAATATTTTACGTTTAATGCCAAATTTGCATAAAGTGCTCTTGATATATATATATATATATATATATATATATATGAGGATAGTCAACTGACACGAATTATGTCAATTCATTTAAAGTATTTTCGTTGCCCATATTGAGTTCAGTGAGTACTCATTGACCGACAGATATAAGTGAAATTCAGGGAACGGTTCAACCATGTCATGATGCCTGATGACATTTTTCCGCCACACCAATTTTAGCCACATTCTCTAATTCTAATTTATAGACTACCAGTCGAACAATAATTCAGAAATTGTCTTAACGATCATTGTGTGGTCAGATTATGGTGTGAAGCTTTCCACATACGTTGAGAAATGCACACTGATGACCATTGGACGTAAAATTGAAGCTAAAAATTATATATTCCTGCAGTTTGACTACATTTCAACCATACCTGTTTGTAGAGATACATACAGCTACACATATGGTTCGAATTTCTTCGATTTTTGACATGTTACAGATTCGACTGAAGTTTAAGACGAGACACAGTTTCTTTTTTGCTGGGAGTCTGTTTCAATCCACTCAGAAGTTGTAGTATATTCACACTTAGTATTCTAAAAATTCAATGTCATCAGATCATCCGAATTAAGCTAGTATATTTGTGAATGTACGTCTTGATAGTTATTATTATTTCGCTTTGAACTCTTTGGAACGCTGTAGCTGTTTTCTGAATCCGGGTGGTGTTTCACTGTACACAAACTGTTCATCAGGCTTTTTCATAGTTGAAGACAAATTACTGAGTATTTCACTCTCCAGCTTCGGAAGAAAATGAAGGATATCAGATGTGAAACTGCACGATATGGATCTGTGTTTCATGTCCAATCAAATATTATACTGAAGGAATACTGTGTTATTTCGTATAAATTGCGTATGCTTTCATTGTTATTTGAATGGTGATATTCAATGATGACTTAGTAAACTGTTGATATTATGATTTCTATTTCAGACGACCAATAAATGGTGAGTACTAATAATATTTTGATATGCAGAATTGAAATGGCATTATGCTTTCTGCCTACTAGTAATAAATATTCTCGCTCATAACATTGTTTGCTTTTGAAAGCAGTGTGAAATTCTTCGTCATAAACAAGCTAAATGTGAACCTACGCGTTGAATGGAGAGACGAAAATGAAAAAGACGTATGTGATGGAATTCTGTCTGTTGGAAATGTCTACAAAACGTGTAGAAATGCAGCTGCAAACAACAGCTTGAGGAATTCCTTATTCATGGCTGACAGCAAAGTTACTAATTGGGAAGTGTGCAAATCAGACGTAATGTGATGACTGATTGTAACCGCGCTTATAGATCATAGTCGGTAAATAATGATTACGGTGGTAATATGCTCGCCTAACACTCAGGTGGTTCGGGGTTTGATCGCCCGCCACGGATGCACTTGATTTACTATCACCCCCATCCCGCAAAAATAAACGCCATCGATACGGAATCTTTAGAGCTCTAGCTTGAAGCCCTATGTTTCACTGGTAACCCAAATATATGAAAAAAATGATAACAGTTGCATCTGATTTTTATTCATGTCCTTGAACTCAGTTATTTTAATAGAACATAGAAATATTTCACATTAACACTCACTTGCAATGTAAATATCTCTAGTTACACTGTAAGTAATTGATTTTTCTATAGAATACTTACGTCACTGGCAATATTTTGCTACTATTATTATTATCATCATTATCGCTTCAGTAATTCCTTATCCATTAGCCTAAGCGTGCTGATTTAGTCAAAGAATAATGCGACTGGCTGTAAATGAATTCTTCTATTTTGAATTTTAGCTGTATGAATACTTGTCTTTGTACAGTTGAGGTAATTGCCTATGCATTACAATTATTTTTCACCCATTATTAGGTCAAGGATTGACGGTAAGACTTTTTTCATTTTTTTTATTACAGCCGAACATTTTGGCTAATGTAAATTGTTGTTCTGAGCATCCCCTTTTCGTATAACTATCATGATATCGGTATAGATGAATTCAGCCAGAAGGAAATCTTGGATTACTTCATATATTCCTATTAGGATAATTTCAGAACACGATTTAAGCAAGGAAATACATATTTTCGTTATATTCTAACCAGGCTTTACAATTACGAATCGTTTTAAATGTACATGACTGAAATTTCATTACGGAAAATAAGTACTTGCTTGCTTAAGTCTTGAATTGTAGCAAACATCCTTCTGTGCAAGAAGAATCTACTGATCTCTTCTTCCATTTCCCAAGTAGGATTTCATCCAGTTGAAAATGTTTAAGGCTACATTAATGTTTCTATTATTCAGGAAATGTGTCCGTATTTTAGCCAATGTGTAGAACATTTGTTATTACTGGCTGGTGTTATGGATAATAGATAAATCCTTTATGAACGAGCTGGACAAAATGTAAGCTGAACAAATCCACCAGTAATGGCCAAAGGTGCTTCACCGAATATAACAGAAACTGAAAAAAATGAAATCGACTTTGAATATGAAAACTGCTCATTTATTGTAAGCGCAATGTCTGCATAATGAGTGAAAGGAGAAATTAGATTTCATCTTGTAGGAAAACATATTAACATTAATTAAATCGACTGTGTGTTGGTGTTTGTGGATCACATTAAATTTAAACACACTCCACAAACACAACTGTGAATTTTAATCGCATTTTATTAATACAACGTGGAGGATAGTTTTGTTTGTTGGACATCGAACGCCACAAAAATTCACTGTGGGTGGATATAACATGATAAGCGCTAATAATAATCCTGCAGCAAAGGTCTAGTATGTGGAGATATCGAGTGTCTCGTCTAAAAACCGAATACCAATGATGATTTCCAAAATGAAATATTACTCCTAAAGACGATATTAAAGATAGAGGACAGATGGTTATTACCAATGAGAACAATTGACTTTTTTGATACGAAAATACAATAAATAAAAATATTAGGAATTTCGGAACATTATGAGAGCAAATAATGAATAAAACTGCTAGCATGTATCTGGCTTAGAGTTTGTTCAGTCGCACCATACTAAATAATTTGCTTCAGTTTGGCCGGTTGCAGTATGTTTCAGCTGATTTCAAAATTCGAAGGATTCAAGTGTTTATAACGCAAAGTCCTATTCATGTTATATGGTTTATGGCATTATTTTAGAAAATCTATGCCTGAGTTTCGCAATCTTTTTCCATGGTCTACTAAACGTGTCTAGATTGTCGAGGAAACACTGGTCTGTAACTAGTGTAATGTGTGTGTGTGTGGCTCTAGTCCTATCTTTCTTGCAGACTAAATTCGACCAGTCAAGTTTGCAATATGGTCACCATGGTGAGTGGATTACCATCACGGTGCACCGTGAATTGTTGGAGGCAGTCAGCAGTAAGCCTTGGACCTAGGTTTCGTGCTAGTTGGCACTCATCTGCAAGACATATCCCTTCTGAGATTCGAATCCGCCTTACCCTGTTGCATGATGTCCAAAGCGTCTTGTTGTTTGCCTCCAGCCATCTAATATGAACTGATTTCAGGAAATTTGAGCAAATACCCTGCAATCCTGCATTTTTGGATATTCTCACGAAGCTGTGGGACTAAGCATTGAGCTATTTATGACTGCAATAGTGCACCATCTTTTCACGTTACACAGTAATTGCAAATCAGCTAGCTAGATGACTACATTGCAGATGTTGACTAATGTGACAGCAACATTATACAACAGATGCAGTTTTTAAGTGTTGGTTTGTAGGGATTTGATTGGTTACAGGATTTCATTGCGAGCTGACATTGGTTAGAGAACCTCTGGAAAACCTGGGAATACTGCCCAGCTGTCTAATCCTAATTTGGGACTCTTCGACAGTACTCACCCACCGGGGTTCGAGCCCATGACCTTCTGGTTACAAGGCCAGCGAGCTAGCTCACAGACCATTAAGCCACTGGGACCCGATCCAAAGGCTCACAAATTCTAGCTTCTGCCGATTCACGAAATAGCGCTACCTTAGCCATTGTTTTCAGCGAGTATTTGTCCTCACATCCGACCTGCTGCACCCTACTAGTCACGACTTCTCACTAGAACCCCAGGTGACTACCTAACTGAATAGAGCAAGTCACTAGTGAGCATCTCATAGTGTCCTCGGTTCAAGCCCCGGTGGGTGCGTACTGATGAAGAGTCTCAAACTAGGACGAAACAGCTGTCCAGTACTCCCAGGTTTTCCAATGGTTCTCTAACCAACAGATGCAGTTTTATTTGGTGAATAGTATTACTGTGACTTAGGATCGATTAATGTATATAACGGTACTTCTCATTGTTCATCTGTATTCAATTTATTGTATTATTCTAGGTGATCTTTGTGGTAAGTTGATCTTCTCAAAGTGGATAGTTGAAAAGAAAACATAAAAAAAAAACTCGAAAATGAAATGATGCATATCACCCAATAAATAAAACAAGAAAGTATTTTCTCAATTTTTATTTAAAAAACACTGCCAAAAGACAGTTTACATTTAATTTACTGACTAAATGTTTTTTGTGGAATCATTGAGCTAACTAAAGGTCTTTAAATTTTATTATCTTTCAGCTGAGGCAAATTTCAAGTAAGCCCCAAGATTACATTATCGCTTTTAACTTTGTTACTTAATCGTAATATTTTTTCATTATTGAAAACGTGAACTGTAATTATAGGGTAAAATACAAATTATAGTAAAAACACACGGAAATACTGTTTGTTTTGGTCATCAATCTTTGAATATTCCCATGTTTTTTTATTAAAAAAAAGGCACATAAGCGAACAGTATTGTTTTCAATTAGATCTTCTTTAGGCTTTATTTTAATTTGCATAGTTTCATACATTTGAACGTCAGTATTAACGATGATTATAATGATGAAGAGTTGGTTTTTTAAGTATTTGATTTATCTTTCAAGTTTGAACAGGGGGGATATCAGTTAGAGAATCATTGGAAACTAGTGCTGGAGTACTAGACATCTGGTTCCTGTGTCCTAGTTTGGAAATCATGGGTAGTACCCATATTCAGTAGGAGTTCAGACACAGGACCTTACGGTTACAAACAAGCTCGTATGCCATTCAGCCACGGGGAATCGATCCAATGACCCATGGATTTTGATTTCTACCAATATGTGATTTTAGCGTGACCATCGTGTGTACTGCGCAGTTTTCAATGGTTCTCAAGCTGAAATCAAATAGTGGCCGAGCTCAATTATAATGATAACGAAAAAAATGATAGTGAGGTTTATTCAGTGGTGATAAGATTAATGGGGTAGAAATATGTGTACTTGTGGACAATTCAATATACACATCAGTTTAGATCTTAAAAGTTACGTAATTCTTAAAGTGAATTGGACAGGTAATCAGCCTTCAAATAAATATCATAACAGTGGGAAGGAAGTGTGAAATGAGAAAGGGTAAGAGGGTTTTAAATAGAATTTACCTAGACGAAGGAGAGACAAAGGTAGAACAAATTTGTTTGTATGCAAAGACTGGGATTGTTCCCTTAAATTCCCACAGGGCGAACAACTAGACAGCTCAACAAACGTATAACCGAACATCTTCCTTAAGAGTTCAGAAAAGCTTAAATAAAACCTATAAGTTCTATTCTGTCTCATTCCATCAATAACACATAGCCGAAGCTATGTATAAATTATTTATCAAATTGTCTACATATACACATATTACTACCTTCGTTATTCTTACCGCCATGTGCATAAGCCTTATTAGCATTGTATTTTGTTATCACTAAAGTCATCGTTATAACTGACGTTCGAAACACCTAACGCACTATTATTTTTACTACTATCATTATTTGATCTTTTTATGAGTTGATCACAGATTGATATCATTTAGAGAACCATTGAAAACCAGGGAATACTGGACAGCTGTTTTATGCTAGTTTGCGAATCATCGGTAGTAGACACCCACTGGGGTTTAAACTCAGGACTTCCAGTTACAAGGCAAGCTCGTATATCATTCAACCACTTGGACCCGATCCAATGGCGAACCATTCCATGAATTCTTGATTTAGCTCGACCTCAATCATTGCTGTCGGGTACCAATGGCTAAATGGTATACGAGCTTGCCTTGTAACTGGAAGGTCCTGGGTTCGAACCCCAGTGGGTGCGTACTGCCTATGATTCCCGAAACAGTGGGATGATACATCTGTGTGTCCACTACTCCCTAGTTTTCACTGGTTCTCTAACTGATATCAATCCATGATCAACTGGTAAAAACATAACTAATCTTTACAAACCAACAATAGAAAATATTATTTGATCCATAAACTCACTTTCGTTGATTAACCCTTTTGTATATAAAGCTATTTAAGTTAGAGAAAAGCTTATATTTTTTGTACAGCCATCAAAATCACATGTGGTGATTAACACCAAGTTAAGCAGGTATTTGCGTAGATGGCAAGATTCACCAATTAATTCACTAGTAGTTATATATTTGCATTTAACCCTCACCTATTTTCTGACTTATTTCTATTTTCAGCCCAGAATTTTTCGAATTATTGTAAGTTCTACGCATATTTTATTTATTTTTTATTTTTGATTACAACTTGATTGCACACCGTATTTTCCGTACAGGTATGGAATTCTCAATGTACGATATCGGTAGCCCAAATTTTGCAGACCGACAATTGATATCTGGTGTGCGTCGGCAAGGGATCGAACCCTAGACCATGTGCTTGGTCGGTGAGAATCCTAACCACTGTACTACCGATAACATTTAAGAGTGTTCAATGTTCTCTCAGCTTTAGTATTTGTTCTGGAACGTTTCATTAACAGAACTGATGACATCATTATGAGTAATCTCTGGACAGCTTGAAAAATGTAATTGTTCTTATCTTAAGACAATATTCTCTTTTATTATTTCACGTTCATAAAATTTATTAATTGCAGAGAGATGAATTTCACAGTTAGCGTCATACCTATCTATAATTATGACTAATTATCACTCTATATAAACAGTGACTGAATTTTCGCGCCAAGTATTTATCTTGCTGCTGACTCATTGTACAACAATTTATTCAAACTTGAAATTTAGCGAAAGTTTTCTGCGAGTACTGTAAGTTCAAACTGATTTAAAAACTATTTTTCATAAAATTATAACAAGACTTGGTTTATCTGAACCTTTTTTTAAATATCCTGGTCACACACTTACTTGACATACATATTTACTTAAAAAGCCAGTAGAGTATTTTCATCAATATAGGTCATATTGTTTACATGCCCTGATCACAGAGAGTAGGTGCGGAAAATGAACGGGGTGAAAGTATAATGAAGTAAAATTAACCTTAGTTACACAATTTGATCCCTAGGGCAAGGTCAGAGTAATGAAAATTATGTTTTGAATACATGAAACAGACTTAAGCCATTTACAGCTACGGCTTCATGAAATTTACGTCACCTACACGCATTTTATATCTAGGTTTAAATTCATTATTGACATCAATTTTGAGATCCATCTCTAAGATGTACTTTGGGATAGATGATTCTGGACATCTATTTGTGAGGCTAAGTGTATTAGGTGGTTTCATTTGTCCTTGCAGACATTTTGGAATACGTTGTGTATCCCTAGCCTGCAGACATCGATGAGTCCTCCTATATACGTGTGACCACACACACACTATCATGATTAAGTTGATAGACAAAGTGGTATATGATAGTGACGTTCACATGATAACCCAAATCTCATTTTGTTTGTGATAATGAGTTTAGTTGCATAGCAGGTTCTTGTAAGTGCTTCTCCAGGTCTTTAATCAGACTTTGGCGATTACTCTTGAGCGGTAAGGATATATAAACTCGCCTGTAAATATTTAAGAGCTCATTTCAAATGAAGTAATAGATCGCTTGGTTTTTCGCTTCTATAGAGTCTAATTAATTTCAAGCGATAGTCATCACCTAATAAGACTTAAGTGAGGTTTTGTATTTCTTCTTCACTGCTATCTTTTGTACATGTCTGCTGAATGCGTCTTACATAATATTCCTACCTTTTATCTGTGGTCATGACCTGTAAACATTTTGACTTCGACTGATGAAATTTTGACTGTTAATGCTCAGTTGAATATCTATAAAAAGTACGTGCGTAATCAGAATAACCGAAATGTTTTACGCTAAATGGAACTTACCGTTTCGTGCTGCGAATCCTGGCATGTACAGTTTCATTGAATGCTGTAGTTAATTGATTGCCTTAATGTATATGCCACAAATATATATATATATATATGTATGTACGTATATTGTTACTGACAGAAGGTGCGTTTCCTCGGTCAAAGTGTGGTGAGAGTTGTCTGTTATACAACAATTAGTAGACAGCAATTTACGTCAATGTTTACGTCCTAAATCTTGGTCATGAGAAAAGAACAAGAACAAAGACTAACTCAACATTCAATAACAGTAGACTTTGAGTGGGCGGATATGGTTCGCAGCCATATGGTCTCACCTTCAAACAAACGGCTACACAGAGATGAATGAATAACTTTAAGAGATAAAACAACAGAAGACGTTGTTTCCTGTTATCAATAACGAATAATAATGAACTTAAAATCTACAAATGTGTGTTGATTTTCTCAACAAATGATCTGTTTCCCACCCCTTGTCTTCTGTCGTTACAAAAGTACATCATCATCTTTAAGACATATAAACGTTTAAAACAAAACTTTACAAAGATTGTTTCGGTAACTACCGAATAACGACTCTATCATATGCCTAATCGATTTTGGATACGTGTATTTGGGAGGGGAATAATGTTCCATTAGATTCTTTGCCTTCCACAGATAAAACAGGTTCCAGTGAAGACAATCACTTTAGAATAAACATCATAATTTCTTTAACACCGATCGTTAAATGACCAGAAATATTCTGGGTTAGTTTTTACTCATGTTACGGTTAGCCCATAACCCTTGTGGTGTATGAAAACAGCTCATTCGTTTGAGCAAATCACCTTCCACCGAAAAGTAAAATCATAACGAAGAGGAGATATCGATAAATTAACAATTTTGTTTGATTTTTGCTTTCATTACTACAAGAAACATTATAACATATTCATTTTCAACTTTCCTTTCAACACCAGGTTGGATTTCTTACACAGATTGTTAGTTTATATTTATAGTTTTTGATTTGTTTAGTGTTACGAGTTTTTGTTGATAATTTTATTCACTTTGTAGAAAGATTCGATGAAGTTAGCATGAATCGATTAATTCCCTGTTTCACAAATGCTTACATCAACAAAGATAGAAGTTGATTATTTTCAAAACACCATGAAAAGTAATCAGGAGCAAAAAACATATTTGGGAATTTGATGTGAACGAAGCTGTGAAGTGTTGGGACAACCGAAAAGGTGTTCTTATTTGTCAGTATTGTCCATAAAACATAGTATATTCACCATAACGTCCACTCCTTGAGATGTGTACAATATTACCGTCTTTGGTGTCTGAAATAGCCATCTCAAGATGAGTCATGAGTTACCATTGAATCAGTAGGTTAACATTACCCTAAATTATGACAATCTAATGATAATAATTTACTTCATTCCAAAGACACTACTTGTGATACATAATGGAATTTTCAGCATTAATCACAATATCGCGTCTAATTTCCTCAAATTATAAATAAAATTGATCATACAGAAAAGTTTCCACATTTACAATAGGGGTAATGTCAAAAACATGCAGCATACAAAAATGGATATAATAATAATGATAACAGCTAAGGTAATAATAATAACACAAGTGAAAATCACCGTGGGTTTGTTTCACACAGTATTGTCGATGCGGTAAAGAAATCCTAGCATGTTTAAAAATATTGAATATAATGTTCTCTTTAGATAATATGAAAAACCAAGTTTCTTGAAGAGTTATTACACCAGTATTACAATATACATTTGAGTATAATGGAGAATGCAAATGATTACTCTTGTTTGGTAGAGACTTACAATTTGTGCTCATAATCACAGGAACAGTCATCAAATGCATTATGGCATACTTTAAAGCTCGTTGCCACTCACCATGGACTTTTTTCTTAAAATATTTAGAAAGTAGTAAATCAGCCGGTTGAAAACGCTTTAAATAACCGCGAGAGCGAACAATGCGATTGGGACACATAATTGAATGATTAAAACAAAATAAATCCGAGAAAATAGATGCACTATGTAGGATGGAAATTTTGGTAGCCAAGATTTAAGCAGGCCGCCAGAATTTCAGTGGAGTGATATCATATGCTGGTGATGTTTCAGAAATGAGGAAGACACTTGACAGTATTCGTTGACTGACAAGCGTCATATGTTACTTCACACTTACAGATGTGTATTTATTAATATTCAGTGGTTAATTAATTTATCATTGTTCCTGAAAATATTTCCATGTAGGCTTGAGGGGTACGTCTATGTTTTTAATGGATTCTATCTACTTACTGAGTCTTTGATAGAATAAGAATGCCCGACTGATCAGAATGCCTAACTTTCCATTTCTCATCACGACTGATTAATTAAAAACACATGAGACACGCCATATTCCACATCGATTTGTTTGACGGTAAAACACATGGTTTTTCACTGAACAGGATTGTAGGTCAGATTTATGCTTCTAAACAGAAAGTCTGAGAAAAATCTTTGAAGAGTTTAGGAACAAGGGTTAGCTGAATTAACAATACATATGAAGTTTTGAGAAATCAAAGCTGTCTACAATTGAGATCAAACATGAATAGCCATCAGTTTAAGTCCATTCCAATTATTTGATTTAATTGTTACAATTTCGAGAAAAGATTTAGAATGCAAATTCGCATTCACGCTTTTATGTGTTGAGTTCACTTGAAGCACATTACACAGACATTAATGCGGATTGTATACAGTTTGAGTGATGTGTACTTTATGAGTGTATTGATATTTCCTTTCCGCCAGAACCCCCAAAACTGATGTGTAAGTCACATAATCAATGTAAACAAAGTATATGTTTATTATATCCAATGGACTTTAAGAAACCTAAGGGTGATAAATATGACAGCTAGAAGTGATAGGGGTGTACATTCTTCCATATGTCGATCAACCTAAGTGAATGTCTAAGTTTCTGTAGAAAATTGGTTGATTTCGCGGGGCTGAGTGATTCGTTCCAAGCCTAACCTTCCCTCTATTTCTGGGCGTACGACAAGCCAGTAAAATAGGTGACAAAGGCAGAAATACCTAATGCCATAAAGCTACTGAAACCCCGCTTGGAAGGCAACAGAAGTAGATAGAATACATCCTGAAGCACTGAACACAGATCCTCGGAGCTGAGCAGATATCTTGATCCCATAGTTGCAGAAGGTTTACAAGGAATGAAAGGTACCAACAAAATGAAAGAAAGTGTACCTTGTCAAGAATACCTAAGAGAGACAACTTTGGTATTTGAAAGATTTGGCACTCAATCTTGTTCATGTTGACTACAAGAAAAATATCAAGTCACGTAATCTCGGAAAGACAAAAGGATGCTCTAGATGCAAAAACCACCAGCGGAACAAGCTAGATTCCTGAAATGTAAATTATGTGCGAATAAAATCGTAACCCTAAGCTTCCCCATCAAAGACAGCTAAGAACAGCAGTCAAACAACTACTACAACTTCAATGACTTTGAAAAAAGCCTTCCACACCGTTGACTGCAAAGTAAATTGAAAACTGTTTCAATACTTAGGAATGCAACGGAAAGTTCAACCAAGGTTCTGAAGTGAAGAGGAGAGTAAGGCAAAGCTGTTTGTAATCATCGATGATGTTTTCTGTATTACTGCTGGATCCCTATGTTCCACACAGAATCTAAGGGTAAAATGATGATAAAATGACTGTTAAGAATGCAGTCTTCTATCTTGCGTTCATCTTCATAACATTGAATTTGTTTCGTTCACATTTTCATTTTAGCAAAAAGTCATTGACTGTATTGTAAGCGTAATTCACATGTTTAAAAGTGGAATTTTTATGTAAATAAATACGTTTCTGTCTGCCTTTTTTGGAAGTGTGTGGGCGGTTGTTGCTTCCCGGCTGCCCACACCGTAGAATTTGATTGATTCCTCGGGTACCTGAAACAGAAAGAGTGTTGCGTGACCACAGATCCCAGCGGACAACTGCTTGAGGCCGGTCACACACGGCCTGTGTAAACTGGTTTCTGGGATTGGTTCCGTATTAGTAAACTTACCACCGGTTACTGACCACAGCAGGGTACGTCGGGATGTGCAATTTTTGGAGTCGACCTTTTCTAACCCCATCTCCTTGGAGTGGAGATACAGCATAGCTGGCTGGCATGCTGGTCATCTGAGGGAAACACCTCACTGCTGTTACACCCCTGTTCCTCAGTAGTATGACGTCGCCCTCAGACCCCCAGCATAGTATAAGAAAGATTCTTACACAAAACCGGTGACTGCTTTTAGTCTAATCGCTATCCTAACAACCTTCCTGGCATGGTAGGACCTGCAGGAACATTGGTTCCAGCTAGTGCAGCTTGTTTGGTCGTCGCAATGTGCAAGCCCGACCACCATGTCGGGTAATAAATGCGTTTTAACGCTGATAATCAAAATGAATAGATATTTTGGAAAAAAATTTGAGCTAAAAGAATTTGAATAGCTCAATAGTAACGTCACTAAACGTAGAACTGGATGACGCAGGTTCAAATCTCAGAGAGGAGACGAGTTGAAGATACACCTTACTGATGGGTGTCAACAGGTACGAAACCTAGATCCAAACCCTACTGTTAAGTATCTACAATTATCTAACATAAGGAAAGTGCTAAATGTTCACTGCTGAATCCGTTGTGATCTCATTATTCAATGCACAAACACACCACATCAGTTTTGCTAAAGTTTTATCGATGAAAACACTCCAACATTACCTGTTTATGCATATTGTGGATTCTAAAAAATAATTAATGCATGGGTGGAACGATATTAAAGTGCAAAACGCAAGTCAACTGAATACCCTATACAATTATTCTCTCCAAAACGCCTTCTGCTTCACTTACGTAGGAAAATATGAGAGGGCAAAGACGATGTTGGTCAAAGTAGGCGTTCTTTTCTACACAGAATTCAAGAACACAAACTAGTTGTGCAAAGATGTGACATGTACTCTTTCATATTGATGCATGTGGACAATTATGAACATAGGATAGGTTGGGAAAATTTAGAAACTTCACATACTGGAAACATTGAAAATGCCGGGAAATTACTTAGACGAATCAACGATTGGCAGAAACATTATTACACATCAAATCTACCAACTATTAAAGAATTAACAACATGAGAAAAAGGTCTAAACGCTTAACAAAGAAACAAATTATCAACTAATCAAAACTGAGGTGGTCAGGGGGTACAATTATAATACAATCCCACTTTGAAGGTGCTGCCTAGTAGAACAACGAAATCACCCAGCTCGGAAACATAAATTCTTCTACATCGGAAACGAATGAATCAAAATGCTTATACCAGTTTTAACCGTCTGCTATCCACACATACACATGCATTCAGGTGAAGTGGTCAGAAATAAGTACCAAAATATTCTTGATTGTAGCTCTCATTTATTCATAGGAAGACAAAGGAGTCCTATAATTATTCGCTGAATTCTTCTGATCGTCTATGTCAGATAGCAAATTTTGATAAATTACATTGTACCGATTTAATTTTCGGTTAAATAATAGCCTAAATTTAAGGATACTCACTCGTTTGCGGACATAAGCACTCAAATATGCATATAAAACTTGGGAACAAACGGAACATATGTCCTGTGTTTGGTTGGTTAAAGGATTTCATCATGAATTGACAACGGTTACAGAACTATTGGATAGCCAGCAGAGAGTGCTGGACAGCTGCTTCATACTAGTTCGTAGCTTCTCAGCAGTGCACACCCCACCATCAGGGTGCGTACTACCAGGACCTTCTGATTACAAGGCCAGCGAGCTAGTTCGTAGCCCATTAAGCCACTGGGGTCCGACCCAGTGGCCAACCCATGAATTCTAACTTCTGCCATTTCATGACATAGCATGACCACTTCGCAATGACTTCTTCGATGAGTTACTGCCTCATCTTCAACCTGCTATGCCCTACTGGTGACGCCTTTGCGCTAGAATCCATGGTTAACTGCCTGAATAGGACCAGTCACTGGTGATCATCAGATTAATTAACTTTCAAGTATTGGTTTTGTAGGGATTGTGTTTTTTTTGTTGGAGGATTTGTCCTATTCTTCCAGTATCTACTATTTCTACTCCCTAATGCAAATTGTAACTGTTATTTCTAGGTGGAAATTTTCAAATTATTGTACCATTTATGTTTCCTGTTGACTACTATTTCAGAGTTAAATATGTTGGTAGCATTAAATTCAGTATACAGATATATTTTATGCATGTATTCAGTAACATCTTATATATTTCATATATACTCACAGGACTATGCAAACAAAATGCTTGTAAGTTTCCGTTATTCTCTTACTTTACTAATGCTGAACATTTTGGCTTTAGCCGACATGAAACGGTCAAAGAGGAATAATCCTTCGATATTTTTGTGTTCCTTAAAAGAATTCATATTAAACAATGTTGATCATATCCTCGACTATTTCATAGGGTCATCTAGCGATAAATCTTGTTGACAGAAGCTATCAGGTATTGATTTCTGTTTCGTCGAAATATTAGCGACAAAAACCAACACAGCTTCACATCAAGTGAGTGTTGGTTGAGAAAGCTGTGTATGCTTTGTATGTGTCGTGTGGAAGATCTCACATCTTGAGAGTTGGAGCACCTGAAGCAGAAGGAACATTCGTGTTGCATGATTTTAGAGCCCAGGGGACAACATTTTGTGGCTGGTCAAACAAGGTTTATTTGAGGTAGTATATAGAGTTATGTCCATAATAAAATCTTACTACAGGAAGGTTAGTAAGAATGTATAATTTTGAGGGACGATCTTTCCTAACCGCCGTCTTCATAGTAGATTGCTACCATAGCTGCCATGTAAGTCACCTGACAGGAACACCTTACAACTAATACATTCCTATTCCTCAGCTGTACCACTTCTCCCAAACCCTGGCAACATAATATAAACGAATTTCACCATGATGGTAACTGCTTTTAGTCTGATGACAATCGAAACGACATTACTGGTGGGTAGGAGCTGAGGTTAGAATAGGTCACCGAGTCACCTAGACACAAAGTTCTTTAAATAAATATCCTGCATAAGTTATAAAAACAGTTTACCGCGCTGTTATAGTACTTCTTCATGTCTTACCCTAACCGTGTTAATATTATACTTCACGAAAATTTATTTTTTAGGCAGTCTATGGCTAAGTATCTGTAAGTAAAATCTTGTGATAATCGACATTAACAGTAAGAGGTGTTATATTTGTTCACTAATCATGAGGTCGTTGTTAAATGAAGATATTTGGCAATAGGGTAACTTGTTTTTAGGGACTTAATCATTCTGAATTAAAAAAAAGAATTCTGTGCTTAAAATTTAGCTGATAAACAGTAAATGTGTTGTCATTAACACAAATTTAAGTCAAACTGGCGTTTACTTTAGAAAAAAAAGTCGGAATGGGGCGTTTTTTTTCTATTGTCCACAATTGCATTTTAACTGATATTTCCTTCAATATTACATTTCAGTGGTTATGGAGATGACATAAGCAGGTGAGTTAATTACTCAGAAATGTGCATATTTTTTTGGAATAAATCAAACCATCGAGCTTTTGATTGGACAGTAAATTGTGTCATGTATCTAGTCCTTTTGTTTAGTGTAGATGAATTGCATCGATCAAGTTTACAATGTTACCACCATGCCACTAGGTGGCTCTCCATCATGGTACACTTATGACTGTTATCATTAGATGGTTGGAGGCAGTTAGCAGGAGGCCTTGCCTAACCTAGGACTAGTGCTTGTTGTCACATTGCAAACTTAACCGATAGAATTCAACCTGTGCTAAACAAAAGGACTAATTACATGACACCAGTTAATGGGGATTCAAAAGTTTTCTAATACAGTCCTACAGGAGGTCATAGACATGATCAAATAGCTGATTGGTAGTGTGTCTGACCTCAACAACGGGTGACACGTATTCGATTCTCAGAAGTAACACGAGTTCCCTCAAGATTGCAGATATGCCTTGCTGGCTGGCAAGTGCTAACAGGCACGAAACCTAGGTCAGGTAAGGCTTCCTGCATATTGCCTCAAATCATCTGATGATATCTCCTAGCAGTGGAAAGGATTTTTTCAATGTGAAATTATTGCAAATATGAATCATAACTGCCTGAATTCTCCGAATTATTCAAACGTTTGACACTAACTTTAAAAATACATTTCTTTGAAAACTTTAGGGCCAGCCACCTCGACGTTGTGTGAGTGAATATAATTCTTATGTCAAGGAAATATATTTTATATATATATATGTTTTCTTCTATTAGGTGCAGATTACTTTCTATTGTCTAAAACTTGCGAAATATACTCTGCCCTAAAGCTTCGCGACACCCAGAATTACCAATTCATGCAGATTAAGTTAGTACTGTGAACAGTCGCAGTTTTCCTTGAACTGATTCAGCTCTCTGAGCTAAGACGAACTGAGTACACTACTAATGATCTCAGCTCCAGCCGAGCAAAACGGATGTCGGGTGTTTGGATCACTCTGATAAAGCTGTCACGCTCTATTCGTAGTATCTATTCGTTGTATCTAACTACTCATCTCAATCAATCAGTAGTATATAGATTTGCGCAAAAATTCATATGTACTAACAGATGAAATCTATTTAATTTTAAGGTAGGCAATGAATTCAAACGATAACATCTTGAGAGATCTCTTTTTATTTCAAGAAAATAATTTTTTTATCCAAGATACGTGAAGATGAAATAAAGGAAATCAAAAAATCACTTGTCAAGCATTTAAACGTTTTCTGAAAATAACGCGAAATTAATTTGGGAACTGCTTTCTTTTGCTCATGCTATTTGGTGAATTCCAATACAAAATAGTATCGTGTTAATAAATCCTCAGATATTGTTGATAAATATGTAATAGATACCTCCAATTTGACAAGAGGCAAACACTTCGAATCAGTAACACAACAGGAAAACACAAATTCAACTTAATCCACTTTCTTTCTTCAAATTTTATTTAACAGATTGACCATGTTACATAAAATGTAAGTTTTCTTCCCGATTTTGGTTTCAACAGTTGGGTAAATCAGTGAAAATATGTTTGATTAATATGAGGTTCGGGAATTTTCTTTAGATACGATTTGAAGTATCAAGTAAACTTAGTTAATTGTTCCAATGTCAGACATTGGTTAGAGAACCATTGGAAAACCTGGGAGTACTGAACAACTTTTGAATCCTAGTTTACGACTCTTCAGCGGTACGCACCCAGCGGGGTTCGAACCCAGGACCTTCTGGTTACCAGGCCAGCGGGCTAGGTCGAAGACCATTAGGGCACTGGGACCCGATCCAATGGCCATGAATTCTAACTTCTGCCAATTCACGACATAGAGCGACCACTAGCCAACGTCTTGGGCGAGTATTTCTCCCCACACTCGACCCGCTGCACCCTAGTGGTCACGGCTTTTCACTAAAACCGCAGATAATTACCTACCCGAATAAGGCAAGTCGTTAGTGGGCATCTCATCGATATTCAGGTTTCTTGTTGACACAACGTGCAATTCAAATATATATATATATATATATATATATATATATATATATATAACTTGAGTAATTGTAAGTCCTTTCGAACATGAGGTGATGATACAATCAAAACAGTCTGTAATGGTAGATGTAAAATGTTAGTCGATCAGTGTAGCTTAGCCTTCTGCAGTCAACTGTATACACAGAGGGTATGATAATAAGCTCTATCTATTCTAAACTTACCGCTGGTTTTCATGAAAATTTATATTCCTGCTGTTTTAATTTTCAGAGAAAATAACATGAAACACGGGTCAGTGCTAATTGTCTTTTAATATCTTACAACTTTACTAAAATATTGCTCAGTTAGCGTTTGTTCATTGGCAATATGAAAGTATTTATGAAACATGAAATGATCTGCAATTAGTAGTGTTCTCTGAGCTGGTTGGTTTAGTTGCGGAGCTTTCGTCGTCCTCCTGAACAACATCTCCACCGCAATTTTCAGCATAGAGTAAACTGATTTAAATTTGCTATGAGTGATAGAATTGCCTCTCCCGGCAATCATCTTTAGATATGTACTGATCGTTTTTTAATTGACTCGGATTTTAAACTTTCTCGTCACATGAATTGTTTTTTATTACTTGGTGTACTTGGTCTATATTAATATGTTTGTTAATAGCATATTCGTTTGATTACCAGGCTTTTAGGAATCCCCTGGCACTTTTGGTGTTTTCTCTGTCTCAAATTTCGACATTATTCCAATCACGTTAGGATGGAACATATGTAAATATGATTACCGGTAGACGCATGGAAAATTTAAGTCACTTAACTTTATGCTAAAATCCTCACTGAAGATGATATCGAGAAGGACGACGAAAGCTCCGCAGCTAAACCAACCAGCTCAGAGAACACTGCTAATTGCAAATCATCTATCTGAGTTGCAAATCATCTTTATTATTTCAACATGAAATGATCATTTAGGTAGTAAAAGGAAGCGATTTGGTTTGTCATAACTGATGTATGTAGACAGGCGTATAATTTCTAGTGCCTTCTAGTATTACAGTCTGATACCTTTGCTGGTCAGAGGTAAACAGAATGGTGATAAGACATTAAGGCACTTTTAAAGTGTAGGCAATGAGGTAATTGTCTTCTTTCCATCGAATAAGGAATATTTAACCAATAGTACCACGCATCATATTTATGAATTTGTTTTAATTTATATATCTGTCTTCACTAAGCAGTCCATATCAACATTTCATACGTGGTATCTTACTTTTATGCTCCCCCCAAGGGTAGCTGAAATATGGAATTCATTCGGCTAATGTAGAAGTCTGCCAATAAATGTAATAATTATTCACTCTCTACTATCTGAAAATCAGTCACTCGTATGGACGGAAAACTCAGGTTGCAATAGACTTTTATTTCAAAATGCATTATGGCTGATACCATCATAATTAGTGAATTTGTGTCTGATTTTGCACCTGAGTACCATGATTTAACCTACTATTTAGTCGTTATTTTACAAACTGAAGTGACATTTTAGCAAACGATGAAATTCCTAGGATACTTCGCTCAAAATATGTGCAATGAAACGTTAGTTTTTGGTCACTGATAGAAAGTTGATTTAGGTAATGAAGATATTTACTAATACGTACAGTTAGTATTGACTTAAAACATTATCAGTAAATGTTACTGTATAACACTGTGTGACTTTATCAAAGTAATTTTATCCATAATGGAATTATACTCTACCAGAATGCCCAAATATCTATCCTTATATCACTATTCACCCTTCACTATTTGAAAAGCTATTCATGAAGTACTGAGATACAAGTTTTACGACAAAAACCGACTCATTGCAGTCTGAGCGACGGAAAAGGATCTTTGCGTCCTACTACATAGCTGACAAAATATCCTTGAGACTTACTCAGTCACTAAGTACTCGAAAGGTAGTAAAATGACGATTTTCACAGTGATTTGTGGTTCTATAAAATAATGATAACATCAACACCTCAAAATTACCTCAAAAGCACTGTAAAGCAGCTGCACAATAGGGTCAAAGCACAGAAAAAATACTAAGAAGCAAGTAGAATATTCGCAAAATGGTTGTATCCAAAGTGCTGTCCACTAGAATCATACACCAGTGGCGTCTACAAACAATCAAAGGTCAGAAATGACCTTGCATCACTCAAACAAAATTATTTTTATTATTGTTTGTTTTGATTAAAGCATGATTCCACAGAGCACTTTTGGTACAAGTATGGAATTTTCAGCATGTGATATCGGTGTGCGTCGGCTGGGAATCGAACCCCTGACCATGTGCATGGCCGCTAAAGTCCTAACCGCTATACCATTGACTCACATTGCAATCAAAATTAGGGATTAAACAGGGAGAGAGACAAGTAATGCAAACAAAATCAACATGTGATATGAAAATCTAATGTTATGCAGTCTAGGATAAAAATGGATAATAGTTACATAGTTAGTTGAAATGTCCAATTAAGTATAAATACTGTGATTAGATTGTTCATGAGGTATTTTACAAAAAGTTATTCCGTTTCAAGTTTTCATGTCAAACTGAAATATAATGACGATAAATTTCTGAGAATATTTTACTCTTCATTTCCGTCATATGAGAAAGAATAATATGAAGCTTTCAGTCAAGAAAACTCCAGATTTTATACACCGACATACTACCTTATAATAAAGTTAGTTGGATGACATTTCTTCTCAAGGGAATCGTTTTGTTCTGTGTCTTGGCAACAGCTAGTTAACTACAATAGAACAATAACAACTTGCTCAGATGACTTATAATGAAAACTGATGAATGTAATGTACTAGATTTTTATATTTTTTTTCCCTTCACGTTCCCAGTGGAACGTAGGGCTCTAAGCTAGTGGCTTGAAGTTTCTGTAGCAGTGTTTCATTTTTAGAGGATGGGGTTGCTAGCCTCATGCCCAACCTTTCCTCTTTACCAGCATTATTTCTGGCTCAGTGAGGTAAAGGAGTGCGCCGGCCGGGGATCGAAACGCGGACCATATGCATGGTCGGCGAGCGTCCTAACCGCTATACCACTGACTAGATACCGTTCCAAAATGGAATGGAGTTAAATATATGTCTTGTCATTATCTCATTAAAACCTCAGTCATGTTGTATAACGTAGTTTTTTTTCAAATACGTAGTGATTCAACAATTAGTAAAACCACTAACTTCACTAATATGATTTTCGTATTTGCTTACCCCTTCAAAAATTAGGCGAAATATCACCTAGTAAGTTTAGATAAATAAATCTCTGAATTTTGCTTCAGACGTTGAATACTATGTCTTTCCTCTGACTTTATACAAGAAGTGAGTCAGCGGTTAAATCTTCTAACATCTAAGGGGAATAGCCATATAGATAAAATCCTTGCGCAGAGTGTAAAAAAGTCTGCCGCATGAAGACTCCTCATCACAGCTCCACTCTTGTTAATTGAAGTTCATTGACAGATTCTGAAAGAAATGACAAATATAAATATTTACCTGGGTATTTAGATGCACTGAACTCACGCTTGGGTTTCTATTTGTGTGGCGCTTGTTTTTCTAAATTTATGGAAATATTAGAAAATCAGAAGGTTAGAGCAGAAGGATAGTTTTGGGGAATCTATATATTCATCTACATAAAAAACACCATCTGACAAAAGGTGAGTAAATGCTCACAGTGTACACACTAAATTCAAAATGTCTAATCAAATTTCCACACACAACTGTTAGCTTAGTGCATAAGTACTAATCATAAAACTAAATACACACATATACATAGTGTACTATGATAGTAAGGCTTCTCCTGCCATCCTGCAGTGTAAACATTTATTGTTAGTTTCATCATAGTTAAGTAATCGGGAAAGGTTAAACTGTAAGATCCCAAACGAACGAGCGTATTAATAGCCTTAAACTGACCGATCGCGTTGCAGCGGCGAAATTTTGTATACTCAATATAAGATTTGCATTTGGGTGAGAGAAGACACTAAATGAAGTATTACTAGTGAATGCTGTTCAGGATTTAGCGACAAGATCACTTCTGTAAAGTGTCTTAAACCAAATCCTATGTAGTCATTCCTAAGACCAACTTCTAGTCAATTGTAATCCACCCTAACCCTAATCTAATATTAAGGCTAACGAAAATCTATCTGGAACCAAAGGCTAATCTGAGCTCCTCACCATGAAATATAGTCACTTGGATGAATACCGACACTCTGATTAGAAACTGAGAGTTATTCTCGCAACATTTTAGGAAAGCCATCCTTTCTAATATTCTTACACTTCTTTGGGTATATTTTTATGAATAATCAGTTGTTTACTATATTTCACTAGTCTACTCTGGTCAGTAGGTTCAATGTGGTTAGTGCAGTGGTTCGGTCGGGATCTTCATTCACAAGCAGCCACGACACTCTCCGTTTGTATCAGTTAGCCGTCTTAAGAATCCGTTCGCTACACTCAGTGAAAGCAAAAGTAGGCATAGGGAAACGGAATGCTCACACCATGTTTGAGGATGGCAGCTTTCTCCAAATTCGTTAGCTTTTAAAGTTCAGAGTTCAGGAAAACTAGAGGTTTTGAAACACTAATTATTTCGCTGATATAATTCAAGATCGAAAATCGATTGTTACTGGTAAAATTAATGCAGTGGTTGAACTTCTCTTTCAATCTCTGTTCGTCATTATGAACAATTATGATTTGCTTTCAACTCCCTTCTGATTTCTTTGCGGGCTGTTTGGACCAATATGTAGGCTGTTGATGTAGACTCTCTGGCCTAAAATCAAGTAACTGACTCATGCCCATTGCACAAGAGGTGACTTTCTTATCCCGTTTAGATAATTCCTTGGTGTTCAAAACAACTTGTACTTTGACTGAGTCTTGGTGTGGATACGATCACTCACTAGAGAATGCAGATACATCCAGTTGACGAGTACCGAATAGGGTGAAACGCACGCTCTGGATTGCACTACTAGACACCATCCAGCAAATTACTTCCTGAACAAATCATGCTCATCAACTTTAATTAACACATTTACTAATCCACTTTTAATGTGTTTTTTTCATAATATTTTCCCTTCAAGTGATGCCAAATATCTGTAAGTGCCAGAAAATGCTTTTCTTGAATAATATTTGACACAAATAAAAGCAAATTCTTAATCGTATTTTAATCAGTTATTTATGCAGTTAAAAAATGGGGAAGACTATAAATATCAAGGTCACAAATGTGAACATTTTGCTGGGTAATTCATGGTTCCAGTCCCATTGAATCATTCAACGTTGATTGAGAACAATCTCAGATTGTTTAGGAAATCAAAACAAGATTTGTTTGAATATTTGGCAGTCTGAGCTACAGTTATATACAGTGTTACAGTCTAACTCAAATCAGTTGATTCTTTAGGAAAAGCTTTAGTTAATAATAAAGATATGCATTTACTAAAGTGATACAAAGCAACTCCGTCCATAGGGTGAAATTTTCAGGATGTGAAGCTTGTTTTAAATGAAAGGGAGTAAGCAGATGAATGTTTGAGTGAATGAACATGAACAGTATAGGGAACGGCTGTCTAGAAATAAAGTGGAATTAGGGTCTAAAAGAAAAGTTGGTTTACCAATAAATATTTAGAAAAAGAGATCATAAGATCGATTCTAGCAGTTCAAAAGTTCCAGGAAACATCTTTTATTCACATGAAGAAAAGTCGACCTTTGAACCTTTGTAATTTTTAACCGCACGCAGTGTAAGAAATCGGGTACACTGGGTAGAAATGTCACTAACTGGCGGACTCTAAAATAGTAAAACAGGGAAAAATTGTTCATAACTATTTCCAAACCTTTAAACAATAAATATTTTAAATAAAGTGAACAAATGTGCAGGTATACACATGTAACAATTTAAGATTGACAGGCTAGGATATGATTGGTTACAGGTTTCATCACGACCTGATATCACAGAAACCTAGAGAATACTGAATACCTGTTTCGTCCCTGTTGAGGACTTTTCAGTAGTACGCATCTGTCGAGGTTCATATCTAGGACCTACCCCTTACAAGGCGAGTTTGTACACCAATCAGTTACTGGAATGGAATCTACACATAACCACAGATATATGTATATTTGAATAAATCGCAGAAGATGGAATTCAAAGTTCACTGGATCAGGTCTCATTGTCAGAATGGTCTAAGCGGAAGGTCCTCATTTCGAACCCTGATGGATGTGTACTGTTGAAAAAAATATATATGTCAACTCATCGCATTTATCCAGCCTATACTAAAGTCTGCCGATATGTGAACTTCAATCAAGTTCACCTTCATTTATAAACTATTTGAGCAAACATTTTGGTAGTTGACAACTGCGCGCAATGCTATTAGAAACAAGCTGTGGCTTAGATTGTGGAATGTCCAGAGAAAAATCGTCTGTTTGAGTTTTGCTGAGTATAAAGGGATTAGTTAAAGTAATTTTAATAAAATGTGACGAGATTTATGCTAGCATAGATATTAAACAATATTTCATTAAGATAAATAATAAAGGATTTCATAGATGTCACATGTGCACAGGTCAAGGTGTAGTTCAGATATTTTGGTAAAAAGTGACGCGATTTTGCAAAGTGGTATGCTTTTCATTTTATGTTTCCTATTACAGACGCTCTGTTTCAACGAATGTGTAAGTAATATAATCTATTAAATCATCTATACAGATATTTGACCTATTTTGGTTATGAGTGGAACATTGTGTTTCAACAGCACATCTTCGTATAACCACCTTCTTTGCAGTCCTCTTTAGTTAGCTCCATCATTGTCCACAACTTCACAGTTCCTGCTCACATGAATCCCTCCATGTCATCCTTGGACTCTTACTTGACCGCACCATATTCAGGTTAAATGATTAATACGATCCATTGCACATTAGGTGGTTCTCATGGTCCAAGTGGTGTCTAGTGAAAAACGCTTTGGCGTTTGAAACTATGGGCAGGTACATCCGTATGACAAGTTACAAATAGGATGAAATGCGCAACCTGAATTACACTGCTAGTCACCATCTATCGATTAACTTTTAATTAAATACCCAGACATCGTGGAAGCATCTACAGGAGAAACCCAGATGTCAATGTGAGACCAAGCCCTTTGGTCTAATCACTCAACGGAAAAATATAAAAAACTGAATTAAAGTTATGTAATTTTGTCTTGTGAGAAAACCTGATGATATAGTGGCGTTTAATGATGAAATTTTGAGCACAATTCGATACTGACTACCAGTGTGCTCCAAATGTCATCAGTGAATAATATTGTACCTTGTTTTCAATTTTACCAAATAAAAGTATTCTAGGATGCGAGTTTCACTCCACTCTGTCGAATATCGTGAATTTACTTAAATATTATACAAAGGATTGGCATTTAAAATTTGTTCTCCTTCTAAGAGTTTATATTTCTGTACATGCTATAAAATATGTCCTGTGGAAACACTTTCAATTCTTTTTTATCATATTAGGGACAATTTCTTCACGAAACAGTAAGAACACAAACATAATTATTTATTGAAATCATAAATTTGATCAGTTAATTATATTATTTAAAATTTGATACCATTTTAGAAAATAAACTGTGAAGAGAACTGCAAATCTGTTAGATAATTCTGCAACTCAAGCTTGAACACACATATATACTTATTCTTTTCAAAAATGTCCCTTCAGGTTCTTACAATTATAAAATATAATATTTATTGTCGTTACAATAGTGATAGCCAGTTATGCAGTGGATACATTGTTAACGTAGAATAACAGATTAGTTGTTATGGTGTGTTAAAACAAATAGTCGTATTTGTGCGACAAACGTGCTAGGCTGAAATCGATCACAAAATATTGTGAAATGGGGGACAATGGCGGTGATTAATCATAATAGATTTGTAGAGTGTGGGTTAGGAAGATTGGCAAGTCAGTTCAAGGTTATAAAATGTGTCATGTGAGTGGCTAGTACAAAGCGTTCTGTGTTAAACAGGAGGTAGTAAGACTGGAATGAGAGTTTCATAATGCGATAACGAATATGTGAAATGAAACAGGTGGAGGCATATATTGAGAAAATAGATAATATCACTAATAACATTTCTAGCAAAACTAGAAAATAGTCCGTTGAAATAGGAAATAGAAAAAATGGAAATGTATTGTCGTTACATGGATGACACTTTTGTAGTGTACGATGAAGTGTTAAATAGCGATTTGATTTTGAACAACTTCAATAATGCCCACCCAGCGGTCCATTTCACCTACGAAGGAGAATACAACGACTCTCTACACTTCATCGACGTCCTACTAACGAGAAGAGAGGATGGTTCCGTCAAAAGAACCATATTAGAAAGCTAGAGACGAAAGCCGAGTATATACACTTACTTAGCTTCGTGCCGCTGAAATACAAACGTAATCTAATCAGGTGCTTAGCATTTAGAGTGAGGTCTATTTGTTCAAAGACTGTATAGAGAAAGAACTCCAGGTCATTCGAGACATTCTAAGCGAGAACGGATATCCAGATAAGTTCATTAAAGCCAACATAGGTTACAATAGTCGTAAACATGAACTGGCAACTGTACAGAAAAAACCCTTGTTTTTACGTCTCCAATTCAAGTGGGATACTTTTGAGGGGATTCTATCCCAACATTTAACCAGGGCGATCAAGAAAACTTTCTACTCTGCACGTCTGTGTCTATCCTTCACTAGCCGTCCAGTGTTCACCCAGCAACTCAAAGATGTCTTACCTAACATTAGCTCTTCTTCATGCATACACCATTTCAACTGTTCCTGTGGTTCAAGTTATATAGGGCGCACGATTAGGCAGGTTCGTCTACGGGTTCAAGAACATTTACTAGCTTGGTTCAGCAAAGGGGAAATTAAGTGCATGAAAAGCCCGATCCTGTCACAATTGGTCGATACTGGATATCGCATCGAAGTCAACACAGATTTCAGGATTATGTGCTGAATTCCGTAGTATTTATCGCGTACAGTTCGTTTACGTCTCCTACACATAGCTGAAGCTGTTGCAATAAGATAGACTAAACCGGAACTGTGTATCCAAAAAGAACTCGTCCAGACTCTGTTCCTACCGTGGCCAAACTTGTATTGATGATTCTTCTCACCATGAGTGCTCCTTCCCCTTAACCTTCTTAGGTATTTCAACTTTGCTTATTATTACGAACATTATTATTCCAATTATTATCATTATTCGTCATAACTTATGCTCTTCATGCAAACATCCTCTCAATACTATCGAATTTTTCACTCGTACTATCCGGACTTACTATTAGTGATGTTATCTTTTTCTCAATATATGCCTCCACCTGTTTCATTTCACATATTCGTTATTTCATCATGAACCTCTCATTCCAGTCTTACTACCTCCTGTTTAACACAGAACGCTTTGTACTAGCCACTCACATGACACCTTTTATAACCTTGAACTGACTTGCCAATCTTCCTAACCCACACTCTACAAATCTATTATGATTAATCACCGCCATTGTCCCCCATTTCACAATATTTTGTGATCGATTTCAGCCTAGCACGTTTGTCGCACAAATACGACTATTTGTTTTAACACACCATAACAACTAATCTGTTATTCTACGTTAACAATCTATCCACCTCATAACTGGCTATCACTATTGTAACGACAATAAATATTATATTTTATAATTGTAAGTACCTGAAGAAAAATCATTGAAAAGAATATTCTTCATTGAGATTGACTTTTAATTCATAACATGGGAATATTTTACACTATCAAATATATATTTATATTCATTTGGACAGTAGGTTGAAGGTTTCATTGAATGAAATGTCTTCTACAGGAAGTTCATGACAAAGTTCACTGATATTCGAGAGAGCGGGATAGAGGAGTAGTTTCTTCACTTCCATCTTTGGTGTATTAAGGTAGGAGATCTCAAAGATAATCGGATTTCTAAGATATCTCGCTTGTTGAACGATGAAATCACAAAAAATAACCTGTCAAATGTTTGGAATACTCGTAGAGTCTCCTATGATTTTACCTTGCACTGAAACATGTATTTGCTAAGCAGTTTGACCAAAACCGAATTCATAAAGAATAAGGTTCAACGATATATAACGATACATTAATCATGTGATTAATGCAAAGTATCACGACAAGATGCCTGAAATAAAGCATTCACTAGACAAGGGGAGAAAGTCAACGACGTTTACGAAGATTTGCTAAATACACTATCCACTAATAACAGATATTGTATGCTTATAGATGTTAATACACATCACTGAAGCTTATTTCTGATGATTACGAATGTTGCTAACTGTCAGATTCGAGAGTAAGTTCAAATGGATTTTTGTTATTTTTTTACGTTCCCAGTGGAACAAAGGACTTCAAGCTAGAGGCTTGAGGTTTCGGTAGCAGTAGTGTTTTTCATTATACGGGATGATTTTGCTGGCCTCATCTCCAACCATCTCTCTCTCTTCACCAATCTTATTACTGGGTTAGCGAGTTCGTCGACCGGGGATTGAACCACGGACTATATGCGTGGACGGCAAGCATCCTACCATTGTGCCACCGACGCACACTTTACAAATGAATACCGAATAATTAGGCCTAAGGTTGGATAACTATAGATAAATGAATATAATACAATGATCACTAGAGAAATGCACTCTTCCTATATACAGTTGATAAGAATGTTGGAAATTCTTAAACCGAAGCCAATTCGCTCACTCATATTTATGACGAATCGTTTGTAGGGAATTCTGTTGTAATTGATTCAAAAATCATTTTATTTTTCATGCACTATTCATCTTGAAAGAAGTTAGGTTACCTAATGTTGCTTCTGATATCGTTATTGTGATTTATACTTTAAACATCTGAAACAGCCCAATCTAGTATTTTCTTTTGCATGCATTATTGTTTTCAGAAGAGAGGTATGTTTATAGATGCGGACAACATTCAAATTTTTTTCCCTTCACGTTCCCAGTGGAACATAGGGCCTCAAGCTAGAAGGCTTGAAGTTTCTGTAGCAGTGTTTATTTTTACAGGATGGGGTTGCTAGCCTCATGCCCAACCTTTCCTCTTTACCAGCATTATTTCTGGCTTAGCAAGGTAAAGGAGTGCGTCAGCCAGGGTTCGAACCCCGGATCATGTGCATGATCTGCGAGCGTCCTAACCGCTGTACCACCGACGCACCAAAATTCACATAATTGAAACCTAATGATAATTTGTTGTGACAGAACTATTTGCTGAAGGCATAATCTGACGACAATGAGAAGTGTGTCTGAATCAACCGTTTGCCGCTTATGAAAATAAGCCGTTTTGTCTATGTGAAATGCAGAACACAATTACGGCCTACAGTTTACTGCAAGAGTTATTCAGAAATGAGTGGAATATTAGTTTAAGTCATTGTTAATAACATTCATCAGCAAGGTTTGAAATTTTACAGAGGATAAGTCTACGACTTCATTATTCAGTAGCATATTCCATAATTACAGACGTCCCATGCCTTTATTAAGGGATTCGACGACAAATTAATGATGAACCCAGAAGAGTGTGAACAATATCTCAAAACATAATTTGCGTTAATAATGCACTCATGTAATTGTTACTTGTATCTAACATTTTGCCATACGCTGCGTGATGAGACGGCAACTTAAACTCACGTTCATATGTGCTTCTAGTTTGTCATTAACGGAAAGCCACAAACAGAAGAGAGTTGGCGTTTAACAAATTTGCGTGAAGAAACAATACTGGCAATGAATTTGTAAATTTAATTAGGGACTACAGCTTAATTAGACAAATTGGCATCATATTACCTCACAATCTTGAATACCAAATTGATAATTAAATTTTGCCTTTTAATTTGAATTAAACAGTTGTATGGGTAAATTAAACGAGTGAGTAGATAATTTATAGTCAAATTATTTAATGCACAGTAGGCAATCACAGTTGAAGAATTTAAAAATAGATCAAATTTAGTGTGTTTATCCACTCATTTCTCACCATTATAGACTCGAAGTTCCAATGCATAGGAAAACTCGGAAGCATTGCTAATACACCAAAATGTGAACTCATAGGTGTCATATATGTAACCAGTGGCTTGATAGATACAAGCACTCATGATGCTGACGGTAATAAAATGACAGAATCCTGATATAAAACATAAGTGTCCAAGACTGACATATCAGCTTTCAGCTAAGACACCTTCACTAATACATTGAAAAAGTCACTACTTCAGTCAAAATCCACTTTTGCAAATTTCTGGAAACTCAGCTAAAATGCTTTATGATATGGTGTGGATACTGTTAAGTGAATGGTATCAAGAATTAATGTCTCCAAGTATCAATTTGTTGGGATTTGATTGATTGGTTACAGGATGTCATCATGAGCTGAGAACCATTGGAAAACCTGGAAGTACTGGACAGCTATTTCATTCTAGTTTGAGACTCTTTATCAGTACGTACCCTCCGCCTGAGTTCGACCCCAGGACTTTCTGGTTACAAGGCGAGCTTGTAGACCATTAAGCCACCGGGACCCAATCCAATGGCCCTATTCAGGTAGGTAATTACCTGGGGTTCTAGTGGGAAGTCGCGACAAGTAGGTTGCAGCATATCGGACGTGAGGGCAAATACTCGCCAAAGACATTAGCTAGTGGCCGCGGTATTTCATGAATTCACAGAAGTTAGAAATCATGGGGCACTGGATCGGGTCCCAGTGGCCTAGTGGTCTACGAGCCCGCCTTGTAACCAGAAGGTCATGGGTTAAACTTAGATGGTGGGTGTGTACTGATGAAGAGTCTCAAGCTAAGACGAGACAGCTGTCCAGTACTTCAGATTTTCAAGTGTTTCCCAGCTCATGATGAAATCCTGTAACCAATCAATGTATCCTTTGGCCTATGTAAGTAAATGCAGAACAACAGCCAGAACATTAATTATGAAACATTTCCATTGGATTTCCTTTCTCTTCGTCTGAAAAGTTCAATCAATAAATTTCGGATTTATATGAATGTCAGAAAAACCAACATTCTTCAGTCAAGTGACAATTGGAAAAAGTGTATTCTAATTATTTCCACGCTCACTTATCGAAATACATTAATGAATCGACAACAAATGAGATTACAGTCATACTTGGTAAAATAATTAAGTATGAACACAACATTTCTCCACTCTTATGATTACAAGACCACTGAACAAACTTTAACAACATTGTCTGTATCGATTACTGTAAGGAAGCGTAAATAAAGTTGAGAAAAGACACTAATTATTCCATGTGATTACTTCTCTAACTGAGAGGTTACGTAATATGCGTTTGAAGGGAATATTCCATTTTTTAATTACTATGTTGCATTCTATTTCATTTTACAGGTAGCCGCTAATGACGAATTCGTAATGCCAATTCAGTCCTTATGGACATTTAGACGTTTGCCGTGCAAAAGTTGAAAGCACAATTTACTGACTGAAATTTCTGAAATATTATACTTTGAATTTTCTTTATTACACATATAACCTACAATTAACATCATTGCAACTGGTAAATATTTTATATTAAACTCTATGCTTTCTCAATAAAATTGCAAAATACATATTCTGACTTCTTATATCTGTCTGAGGAGTCCCATTCTAGGAAGGAATCTACCGTGTGTATTAACGGTGGAGAACGAAGCGGATTCTTTCACAGTCCTTCAGAATGTCACTGACTTTTTCTGAAATGAATATGTGGTAATTCAGTTATCTTAGAACGCACATCTAAAAAACGGTCATCCTCGTTAAACTCGTTAGTATTCAATCTATTATCATTTCGTCAAATGAAGTTAAGCACTGAATTCAGGTCACACTTTGACGCCACAAAAACAACTGAAAGTACAACGCGGAAGTGAGTGTGTCTCATTGAACGGGAAACAAAACTGAATGCAAGAAAGCACGCAAATAACGGAGGGATAATTAAAACAAACAGTGGAATAAGGATATAAATTATTCAGTGAATTTCAGGATTCGTGTAAATGTGTAGAAGATATGGTCAACAAACCATGGTAACTATCCCCAGAAGAAAGAGAGAGACTAAATTCCACTTACGGTACTGTATTTCGATGGCCAAATCGGTCAGTTATATCCACTAGAAAGGTATCTTTATTAACACGGAGGTAAACTGATTAATGTACTGGAACCATGCATCCTCAAATGTAAGATAAAAATATCGTCATCTGTTTCGAATTCTGGAATGAAAGACTTCTGCATGTATAGCTTGTTCAGAGACATGTGCATACGTATTCTCAATAAAGTAATAATTATTTGTAGGGTGAATGGTGTTTGAAATCGCTGGAATTCAACGCCTATGCTTCTTAATTTCATGAAAAGGATTTTAACGGCAACTGAAAGAGTGTACGACAAACTGGGAGAGAGGTTTTGCATTCCTTCGATTATTAGGATGAAGCGTGTGAAAATACACCCTTATTAGGTGGAAGAAATTAGTGTGCATGGAATCCATGAATGTTATATGAAATTTGCTTAGCATAAAACATGGAACTGATGAGTAATGTAGCACAGATAAAGAAGTTGAATTCAAATATTTAAGGTTAGGTCAATTGGAATGCGTTTGTAACCTAATGTCGCAGTTTTACATAGGTTATTCCACATAGTCAGTGATTGCTGTCGATTGTTGTTGCTGTTGGTTGGTTAGCTATCCCTCTGCTCTATGTTCACCTGCAGACCTCTCACTTCTTCTGCCAGTATGTTGCCTTTCGTCTGCATATCTTTGAGTTTGCTTGACACTAGATATATGTCATCTGCGAAATCCAGATTTTCCAACGTATTATCAGTGATCCTGCATATTCCTGTCTTCTCACTCACAACGCACAGTCTGACGCATAATCCAACCCACCACAAGTAATATTATCACCGGTGATAATAGGCAGCCAGCTTGTCTCACTCCTGTATGCACTTCAAACTCCTGGCTGAGTTTTCCATTATGGATTACTTGACACGTGGCATTGTCATATAGCTGTTGAATGAGGTTCACAGAGACTTGAAATACGCTATAGTGGTGAAGTAGTTTCCAAATTACATCTCGGTCTACGCTGTCGAAGCCGTCTTGAAGTCGATGAAGTTGAGGTAGAGTCATAGTTGACTGTCATTCTATACTTTCTTCTGTGATGACGATGCGTAGCGTTACAATCTGATCAGCAGATGATTTGCCTTTCCTGAATCCAGCTTGTTCCTGTGAGGTGGAGTCCTGTGTCAAGTGCATCCTTTCGCCTCTCCATGATAATGCGACTTAGTGTTTTGATTGTTGTGGACAAGAGCATCATTCCATGCCAGTTCTTGAACAGGCTTAAGTCGCCCTTCTTTGTCAGCATGACGAGGTGGCCAGATTTTCTTTCAATCATTAGCTACCTTTCCTTCTTTCCAAATTATTTGCGAAAATGGCGTGAGCACACCTACGGCAGTCTCTGAGTCCATTTTTAGTGCTTCAGGGGGAATTCCGTCAGGTCGTGGCGCTTTCATGGCCGGCGTTGAATAGCTTGATCGCATTTAGTATTTCAGTTTACTTCGAAGGATTGGTAAACACTGGCAGTTTCGTGTGTGCTGTTGGTGGTATTTGTGAACACGTTGGGGGTTATGGTCGATTCAAGAGTACTTTTAAGTGATCAGCCAATTGTTATATTTGTTTCTCCTTGCTGGTAAAAAGGTTCTCTTAAGCTTGTTTTATTGGTTTCATCATCTGGGTTGATCTCTTCCCAGATAGAGACCTGGTTATGCGATATAATGATCTGAGATCTCTTTTACCTGTGACCTGCCTGCCTGTTCTGCTACAGTTACCGGCCAGTGTGTCATAGAACTTTAATTTGTCTTTCATACCACTCCTCTTCACTTCTGCATTCAGTGCAGTGTATGTTGAAGTCAGCTTCTTCTTCTGTTGCTTATCTTTGCTATAGTCTTCTTCTCTTCCACCCTCCTTTTCTCCTCTCTTCTATTAGCTTCCAGGTAGATGTCCGGTGAGAGCCATTCCTTATCTTGTCTCTCCCTTTTTCTTAGGACAGTTGCACGCCTTCCCTTGAGTATCGCCTTCAGAAAGTTCCATTGTTCTACGACGCATGTTTCCTCAGCGATACCACGTAGTGTATCCGTCTTTGCTTTGATTTGACGGCTGCAGTTAAGGTATCCATTGCAGTTTTGTCCTTCAGTTTGTGGAGGTTGAATTTGAATTACGGAGGCCTGTCTCCATTTGTTCTCATGGATTTCAGCTTCACCTTGAAGTTTCTTTGAACTAGATGATGGTCTGGGCCCTCATGTGCTCCCTTTCTTGACTTCGTTTACGACAGGTTAGCCTAGTTTTCACAACCCCGAGCAGCAGTGAGATGAAAATTTATCTGGTTTGTAGTATGTCAATCAGGAGAAAGCTATGTCGCTGGCCTTGTATATATCCTGCCTCCGAGCACTAGATCATTGAAAGCGTTGAAGTCTGCAAATAATTCTCCGTTCTCAATCATTTCTCCGAGCCAGAGCATCTTGAACTATGATGAGTTCTCTTCTTGTATTATCTGCTTCCACTTCGGCCAGCATTTATATCGTCTGTAATGATTTTGATGTAACTTTTTGGGATGTTGTTCACTGCTGTTTGAAGTTGTCTGTAAAAATCCTCCTTCTTCTCTAATTCCGCGTTGCTTGTAGTCCTGTGCGTAACATTGGATAATTGTTACCTCCCTTCCTTCCTTTTGAGTTGAATCTTGCTATTATTGTCCTGAGTGAAACTGGTTCCCACTGCATCAAGGCTTTGGCTGCAACAAGTGACATAATTATAGCCACTCCCTCAGTGTGTTTGGGGTTGTCGTCTGGGTGACAGGACCAGAGTAGATTACTGACTATCCCGTTGACAGTTTTGATAATCCACACCCATGCCACTTGCTTTCGTAGCTACCCACCACTTCTATGTCATATCTTGTCGTTCCTTTCACTACCTTCCCAGCTTTCCCAGCCGGCTTCGCACACTGGAACGTGATTACTGTTATCTTGATTTGTTTGACGGTATTTTCAGAAACATTATACAGTTTTAAATTCCTAACGTGTACGAATTTTTTCTCTGACTACTAACTATTTATTGAAGTGCGTCGGTGGCACAGCGGTTACGACAATCGCTGACCATGCACATGGTTCGGAGTTCGATCCTCTGCCGATGCACACCTGATATCTATGGTCGGCTTGCAAAATTTGCGCTACCGATATCACATTCTGAAAATTCCATACTTGTACCAAAATTACTGTGGTTTCAAGCTACAATCAAAAAATAAAAAAATATTAAAGTGATATAACTGAACCATAATCCATCATTGTCCTAATTTTTTTCTCTTATATATCCTCTCTTTATCTGTCCAGACTTCATGTGTGGAACATTCACATTTGTCATTTTGCATGATTGATTCATTAAAGGAAGTCGGGACCAGTAGGGTATAGCAGGTCGAGAGTGAGGACAAATACCCACCAAAAACATTGGCTAGTGGTCACGCTATATCTGAAATTGTAAGAAATTAGAATTAATGGGCTGGTCACTGGATCGGATTCCAGTGGCTTAATGGTCAACGAGCTCAACATGTAACCACTATGTCCTGAGTCCGAAACACAATGAGTGCCTACCGTTGAAGAGCCTCAAGCTAGGACAAAACAGCTGTCCAGTATTCCCTGTAGGTTTTACTACGGTTCTCTAATGGATGTCAACTCATAATGAAATCCTTAGACCATTAATTAAAGTTTATTTTCTTATCAATCACACATCTAGCGATGTGTTTCTCTGATTGTATACATCCCAGAATGTAGGGTATTCAGCTGAATGGTTCACTGAAACTTGATGAATTCATTTAATCGTGCTTTCTCAACATTTATGGCTTGTCTCTCTGAATTCGTATCTAGAAATAGATGTTTTCAAGACGTATACATTTTAGGTTAACCTTTTCTACCTTGATTCTCCTGTTCAGCTGCCTTTGGATACTTTCATAGGAGAACAATGTTTTGAGTTCTAAATTTCACCTCATCTTCATGTGTACCACTCTAATTCTGTCTATAGACTGACAGCTTTAAATATATCCGGGTTAAGCTGAAATAGTACTTCAGTATGTGACTGAAACGGTGGCTATGGAAATAGCAAATGGAGACCTTCATATTCCGAAAAATTTTCTTCAAAACCTTCTTCTTATATGCTTGTTATCAGTCTATGCTAAGGTATTATCATCTCCATGCATACTTAGGATCTATTTAGTTTTCGTCTTGTTTATTCACTTTGTATATACTTCCCTAATTATATCGAATGTCGTGTAAGGTTTCAATTATCTAGTAATTCTCTTATTTCCACACTTTATTGAGAATTATATATATATATATATTCTTGCACATGACATAG